GATACGACGAGGGGATATGCCGGCCTGAAATCTTTACGCGTGTGTTCGGTCGTTTCTTTTCTCGTTTACCTTCTTTCTTTTTCTTTTTTTATTTTCTTCTGGTTGGTTTTTCTTGGTTTCGGTTGGCTTTCAACACGTTTTTGGCGATGAACTGTTCGTCGAAGTTATTGGAATGAATTTTAGGATTCATTCGAAGAGTGCACGTGGGTTTTGGATGTTAGAGAATGATCAGATAAGACGTTAGGTAGAAGAAGATTACAGAAGGCAAGATGCACTGAGAAATTCTTATACAGTGAGTGTAAAAAGTATTCGTACACCCTTTAAAACGCAACAACTCTTATAAAATTGGTCCAAATGACTTGAGTTTTTTTGTGAAGTTAGAGACATTAATTTACTGAACGATGTGAAAAAAAAAATTTGAAAAAATTGGAATTGGTCCGAATCGCGAAGAAAATATTAAAGGTTTTACAACTTTTTAATCCGAGGCTATAATGAAAATTTAATAAATACATATCGAAGATTTATGTTAGTTATATACATGTTGAAAATTTCATTGAAATCGGTTAACGTTACTACGAGATACAAACGATTAAAAATGTTGAAAATCGCAGTTTTTCCCGACTTTCGATCTACAACTGTAGTAAATCTAACAATTCTCACATCTTTCGATATCTGTCGCTCGTTTCTGTATTAACCGATTTCAATGAAAGTTTTAGTATGTACATAACTAACAATAAATCTTCGATATGTATTTATTAAATTTTCATTATAGCCTCAGATTAAAAAGTTGTAAAACACGACCTTTAATATTTTCTTCGCGATTCGGACCAATTGCAACTTTCTCAAATTTTTTTTTCATATCATTTAGTAAATTAAAGTCTCTAACTTCACAAAAAAACTCAAGTCATTTGGACCAATTTTAAAAGTGTTGTTCCGTTTTACAGGGTGTACGAATACTTTTTACACCCACTGTATATGGGAAGTAAATGGTCGTTGTAAATAATTGTATTTATTGATAAGTTTAGGACCTAATCCTTGGGACGATATTAATTCGAGGTAGAACGTATTTCAGTGAATCTTCAATCCCACCGTAGAAGTCTCTCTCTCTAGAACTAGTTAGAGATGTTGTTTTTTGTTAGAAAAATTGTATTGGTATTAAAAGTTAGTACGAGAAATTATTAGAGAGTATTAGAAACTGGTAATATAAGTAGCATTAGAAATATCCGTACTAGGAATACTAGTATCAGAAATATTAGTATTAGAAATATCCGTACTAGAACTATTACTATCATAAATATTAGTATTAAAAAAATAGTCGTTCCATAAAAAACTCCTTACTCATAAATATGATTAATCCTCCGAGTGCTATGAAACTTCACCAAATGGTAATATTAATCTAAACAAGAATTAGATCAAGCAGGTAATTAAAGTGAAATGTCAATTACACGTTTTCATTCAGAAAGTGATACATAAATAAAACTCTACGACAGCAAGTTTTGTGCTATTCACAGTAAATGTTCAGATCTTAAGATTTGGAACATCACACTGTATATCATCTAAAACTATAAACTACACAAAATTATTTTTACGTAAGATTCTACTCGTTTCCCTCCTCAAGAAAATCCTACAGTACCGTTAAAGTGAACCATTTAACGTCAACGACATCTCTAAACCTTCCTATTCCCCTCCATCTATTCCATCCACTTAAAAGGGAAAGCACGAATAATGTGGCCCGCGTTTCTCTCCGTTTTCGGGCACTGATATTTCTGCAATCCCCTGAAATCAAAACAACCCCCGAATTCCAGAACGTTGTATAGTCGCGCCCGATTCGTTTCGTTTCATAGACGGTCCTATCGGCTCCGTTTACACGAATCCATCGGCAACCATCACTCTGGCTACCTGGTTTCCGACGACTTCCGCGAACACACATATTCCCATCGTCCTCCGTTATCCCCGCGGCAAAGGTAAAGAGAAAAAGCTCCAAACCGAACGAAAAAAAGCCGCTTTTCCATCCCTGGAAGCGAGGAATTGTCGTCCCATTCCTCATCTCCCCCTATTCCATCCAACCACACTTTCACAAGCTTTCCAAACCCTCAGCCATTCGATTTTCCACTATTTTCCGATCGTCCGTTCGTCCTCCCCCACCTCGTCTCGTCCATTTCCATCAGTCTCCACTGACGTTTATACTTTCGTGAACGGACCCGAGGGCTCCACGGGGACGAGTTAAAGGGGGGGTTGAAGGGGGTTGGTCTTGATCGAGGGTGAGCAAAGGCAGAAAAGACGATACGTAAACCGGAGAGACACGAACGGAAGGTGGAGAAGGGAACACCGGGGAGGGTGAAGAAACTCCGCAACTCTCACGCGCCCTAAACCATCCCTTATAGCCGCCATCTTGAAGGACTCCCAACCACCCCACCCCCAAACCCCTGCCCTTACCATCGCTCAACCACCCTCCCACCGTATTTTCACCCCCTCTTGCCCCCTGCAACCACCACCGAACTGCGGCCTGCACTCACCCGCCCACGATCGAAAAATCCCGTTAGACTTATACGGGCTTAGTCCGTCCATTTTGACGAGGGGGCTACGTGCCACCCCTCTATGCGTACCAGCCGTCCACCCTCCCTTCCGTTTTTCGCCTCTTGCGGAATTCCATAGGGCTTTCCGTGGATACACCATCCCTTCCCATCGGTGGCGACACACTGCTGCCGTTCTCCAAATAACGCCGGACGTGCCTATCCAGTCTGACTCTGGGATTTTTTACTTTTGCTCGAGGCGAGTTGGTTTTCTTTTAGGCAAAGGAGATTTGTGCATTGGGAGATGGTTACGATGGGGTGGAAGAAGGTTGTTTCGAGTTGTTCACGTAATTATGAAAGGGCGTGTGTTAGAGAATGTTGAAATGGAATTCGTTGGTGTTGGATCTGCTGAGTACTGGAGGAGATTGATGGGATTTTTGAGATTGGATAGGTATGGTATTCGATGTAGGGGATGGTTGACGAATTTGGACCATCACTTAGGTTGGACCGTTATTGTTACTTATCATGTGTAAACAATTTGCGCTGTATGATAGATAATATGTGGATGATAGTGGTGATTACTTTAACCCTTAACTGGTAAGATGGGGTTTAAGGTTGTATTTGGTAAGGTGGGGTTGGATTCGACTGGAGACTTTTTTTGCTATTTTCAGAAGGGTAGAAAGAAGTTACTATCTTGAACTTGTATTATTGTTCAATTATGGAATAAGGAATAATAATTAATGTATATAACATATAATAATATAAGTATAAAAAGTTTACTAAATAGTAAACAATATTGTGAAATAAGAGTAACAGTAACATAATAAAAATAGAGTGGGGACAGCACAAGAAGAACTGTAACTTATGGTTGGATTCGACCTGGACCTTTCCATTAACTAACTTAGTATATGAAGCACACATATTGTTTATCACACGGAGCAAATTGCTTACTCATGACAAGTTATAGTTGTGTAGTTGACATTCGGCAACCTTTCCTTACTATGTCAAACCATACGACAAAGACAAGATTGAAAGAGTACACGAACACATTAATTAGTACAAGTATTTGAAGGATAAGGTGTTAATTGATTATGTACTTTTTAGGATCTGTATGACATTGGCTTACGTTCATTAATTTATGCGATAGGATTTGAGTGGGGAAGATTTAAATCTGGAAGGGTGTGTAATTCTAATGTGAAATTTTGTTGTTAATAAACTGTAAGCAAATGACCTTTCTGAAATTTAGAGAATGTTTAGTCGTTGTATAAGTGTACGTAAGGAATGTGAAAGGGATTTTGGAAGAGATTCTGATGATGAATGGTCCTACATTATCCGCCAACGTCCTGAAAACAAACATCATTAACTGAAACGATAAAGAATCGATTATTCCTTGCACAATACGACCGACCCTTTCAGCAAATACAAAAGGGGAATCAAGGAGATTATTTCTTCAATTAAAATTCACGTTATCAACTATTTCCTTAAAAATAACCATTACTCCTTGCTACCACAAAAACATCCATTTCAACCCCCGTTATAATTAATTCATCCCTCTTACCATATACCAAAAAAAAACCGTTACAAAGTGGCGACACACTGATAAAATTACTATTAGATGTACCAATAAGTAATTTACTATTTTTTCAAATTATAAACTGTCATTTTTTAAATGATAAATATTTTTCTGACATTTCACTGATGAGGTGAGCTGTCCAGGTGTATATCCCTCACTTTCTAATCAGATTTTGCCATTTCGTAAAATTCACAAGGTGATAGCGACACTCATATTAATGCAAAATTTTCTTGAATTTTTTGTTTCAAACAAGTCTTACCTGGGATACCACCTACACCATGAACACACTTTTTTCTGATATGTCACTTCCATCCTGTTAAAAAACTTATTTCAAACAAATCTCAGCTGAGATACACCTACAACACGAAAACACTTGTGTTCTGAGCTGTCACTTTCACCCTAAGAAAAAACTTGAAACAAAACAATAAAATTATTTTCACAATTTTTTCGTATTACTATTAAACAGATATATTACCTCACATATTGTCTTTACTAAACAAAACATCCCTAAACATAGATAAATCTTTTTGTCGTCATCGTAGAATCACTCCTCAAGAAACAATGTTACTTATTACTACCCCTAACACTTTACCCCCAGTAAATAATGGAAACTCACCTCCAGAATCCACAAATAAAAAATCCTCCACTGGGAAGTATCCCGAAACATCAGAAGTTGAACTACTGCGACCGAAAAGACCAACTGCAAGTCAATCGAAGCAGCTCAATTCCGATCGCCATATAGGGTAACGCACCCCAAACTCGTCGACCCTTCCGCACCAAGAATTCGCGGGGATCTAGCGCAAAACGAGCTAGGTGTTTCCGGTTTATTCCCGGAATTCCGCGAGGGGTGACTTCTTAGACACGGTCGAGCCCCTTATGACCGGGGCCAAAGGCAACACACAGGCGGGTGGGGTTAGGGGTGCGCATTTTTCGGAGTCCTCGCGTGCCCGCGGGATTCGTGCGAGCAGCCTACCCCCTCTGTGGCCCCCTCTATCCATCGGGGTACTTCGCATTCTGCTACATCGTCGTGGGATTTGATTATGCAAAGCGGCGGCTCCCTTAGGCCGTTTGCACTCCCTCTTCTCCTCTTTTGCCAGGCTCCGCGCGAGGATTCCTGTTCCAGCGCCCGGACACGTAGACGGCCCATCGAGCTCGGCTGACTTTTCAGTCCAGGGCATCTCTCCACCTGCGGATTTTTCGAGGGATTACTCGGATGGTTTTGGAAAATTGAAAACTATGGAGATTTTGCGGTTCCGTATCTGGGGAGAGTGGAGACGAGACTTTAGGTTATGGGCAACGGGGTGCTATGTTTGGTTGGGGTATTACGAATATGGGGAGAAATCGTCTGATTAATCGTTTGGTACTGAATTGGTATATTGTTTTTTCTTATAATTCAGAGGGAAACTGAACCTTCTTTCTTGGTAGACAGAGTCGGGAACAATTTTGTTTGAATAATATACAGGGTGTTCGAGATAATTTGTACCATCGCTTTTTTCGTAAACAGTAAATATTAGAAAAAATCGTCGACTTTACTGTTTTTATTGCATTTTTTTTTAATCTTGATGTTGCTAGCCTCTTTTTAAAAGTAACTTGAACAAATTTTTAATTTTAAACAGTAAACATTAGAAAAAAACCGAAGGGGAGGAAGTTGTAGTATATTTTACTAGTAATTTGATAGCGTGTCTAAAGTTTTTGTATTTTTAATATTTTTCTAGAAACAAAGGCGACATTTATTTTTTAAAATAGCATGGTACGTATTGTTTTACATAATATGAAAGCGGACATTAAGACGAGTTCAACCATGTAGTATACTATGGTCTTCAGGGTTATACAAGGGTCGAAATAAAAGAAATAAGTTTAATATTTCGTAATATTGTATTTACTAGTATGTTGTATTAATAATAAATGCAATCGCAAGAATCGAATGGATGATTCATTCATAGTAAAACGGCACCGAAAAATATAAACTTATATTTTTATAGTGATCCGGTTATATCGAATCCATATTTGGACGAAAACTACAGAAATGAATCCAATTTTCCTTACGTAAAATCGGCGTCTTCAAGGCGTGATGTGCTATCTGACTATGGATGAAATTTATATAAAAACAATCTTTAAGCCAAGTTCATACCTTTCCACTTTGGATCATCATCGCAGACTGATTCATCGAAAAACATTATTTCTATTTGCCTTCCATCCAAACCCATATAGCACACTACAAGACCCTCATTGGGCGTCATGTGCTATTTGGGAAGTGATCAGTGAACAACGTCTCTGCTTTTGATGATTCGAAAACGGCCACGAAAAATATAAACTAATCTTTTTATAATGATCCTGTTATACCGAATCCATATTTTGACAAAAACTAGTGAAATAAATCCAATTTTCCTTACTCTCATCTTTCACATTCACTATGGATAAATCATCCGGCGTTGCACATACAGAGTACAGTGTCTAAATTCGTCTCAACAATTCTGACCACCTGATTCCAAACTTCAGTTCCACGTTCGACATCGAACATCCACAAAAACATACAGAATCGAAGACGAACCACCCCAAACCGGTACCATTATCGAGTCCACCGATAATCGAGAATCAGCCAGGTCTGGATATCGGTTTGCTCCCTCCCTCCTCTCGGTCTTTCGTAACACAAAATCGATCGTATCCCCGGAAGGCAGCCGGTAAGCCTGCCGGGCTTAGGTAGCCTGGGGTACATCGCCGCGGATTTGAATACTGTCGATTCTCAATTGTTACGGATCACGCGCGCGCGCAAGCCACCATCCGAAGGAGAGAAAAAAAAAAAACAAAAAGAAACGAAGCCGTTCTAACCGTTCGTCGAAGAGGGAGACGGTAGAGAGAGTTATCGAACGCGCGGTCGTCAGGATGGGAGGAGAAAAGATGTATATAATTTGGGTCCCTGGGTTGCGGCAGGCAGCTGCGTGGGTCCCGATATGCAAAAAAGGGGGTTGCCGCACGGAATTAGAATGTCCTCCGCGGTCTCATTTGAATTTCAATCTTACCTCGCGCACGGACAGTTCTCTCCTCTCTCTCATTCTAGTCGGTTTCTGCCTTGGAAATAAGGGGCCCCCTTTTTCCGCGGGTTACGTATCTGCCTACCTACGGGTGTTACACACTCAGGTAACCATCGGCCGAAGGGGGTTTAACGGGGCCCTGAGGGTGAAGGAGGGGAGGGTTTTGCGCGGCGGGTAGAAAAGTAGAGAAAAGGAAAGAGAATAGAAGGGGGAGGGAAAAAAGGAGAGCACGCGGTGTTACCCCATTAAAAAATCCGCTTCGCGACTACTACCTGGAGAACGAAAGAAGAGAGAGAGAGAAAAAAAAAGGAACAGCCGGGAAAAATCGTCAACGAGCGCGCGGCGCACCTCATTAGAGCAGCGTTCAACTTTAAATCCGTAACGCGCAGGGGTGTTCGGTCGCTTCTTTACCTTTCCCGGCGTTGCTGCGTCGTTCGACGCACAACGGATTCTAAAGGTGTCGCTGGGTACACGCGTGCCGGAATAACGCGACGGTAACGCGCGGCTCGGGTGAAATAGAGGGAGAGAGGCTTATCGCGGGACGGGGGAAATTCTTTCGGGCGGTGAAAGTAAACGTTGGAGGAGGTGGGAAATGGCGGCTGGATCGACCTTGGCACGATCGAGTGTTTTCTTTTTTTTTTAGATTGTGGAGTTTATGCGTTTGTTGCGAATGGGAATTTGTGAAATACATTTTTGGAAAGGTGAATGTAAATTGTATTTTATTTTGGATAGAACGGAACCTTGAGTGAGGGAAATAAGTGTCTGTTATTGTTCCATTTTGATAGATTAAACTATGGAAATCTGAATGGTCAGAAAAATCGGCAGTCTAGTTGTTATACAGGGTGAACCACGAATCGTGATCGGTAGAGATTACTCTGTTATTAGTAATCCGATCGAAAATGTTTTTGTCAGGTATAGCATGGTTTCAAGACAGCTCTAACGTGATTATAGCAAATTTCTTGTCGACTCTTCTTTTTCATGATTTTCCAAGGTCACCTTCAATTTTTTGCAAATACACCTATAATTTGTTTACGCCTATCTGTTAAAGGATTTCAAAAAGAATTCGGTAGGTATTATACCATAACTTTTACCTTGATTTAAATAAATTATAGGTGTATTTGCCAAAAATTGAAGGTAACCATGAAAAATTTGCAATAATCTCGTTAAAGCTCTCTTGAAACCATGTTATACCTGATAAAAACGTTTTTGATCGGACTACTAATAACAGGGTAATCTCTAGTGATCACGATTTGTGGTTCACCCTGTATATTGTCTTGGGAAGAATTGTGGATGACTTCATGATGATATCTGTATGTTAAAATGTGTTGTAGAAGGGATTGACGGGGTGAACTGAATGTTAGAGAGGTATAGAATTTGGAGGTTTGCAAGTAAAGTGTTAATATACACGGTCTGATCGAAAAGTTTGGGAACTTTATGTATCAGGAATACTAGAAAGTAATGTAATTTTGAAAAATAAATTTTACTACAACTTTGGAAATATACATAAACGAATTAATCACTCAAATTGTCACCACCGTTTTTGATAACCCTCGCCTATTAGCGTATAAGAATCTTTAATTCGTAGTATAACACTAGAACAAATATATGAAAGTTCTAATTCACAAATATAAACAGTCATAAAAAACCTACCCGTCCTCTGAAGATGAAGATTAATAATAAATGATTTATACATAAAGTCCTCGAACTTTTTGATCAGTAATTTCATTTAGTTAATGTTGTATCGGTTTCGTAGAAAATTTAGTAAAGAGAATAGATGATTATATGACCATCACTTTTTTATGGAATTATCAGTCAACCAACACAAACTGTGCTAGTAATTACCAAACCAGATACACAGTAATGATCACATAGTTGTTAACTATTCTCAGATACTTCTATTGTCACTAACAGTTTCAACCCCCTAAAATATTCATAAAAATTACTCTGTTAACAATTAATAATTTAACACTACAAAGATAATCTTACGCTTTTCCCCAATGTACCTCATCCCTGAACTTCCATTTTCATCCACACACGTTTCTCCGTATCCAACGATCTCAGCCCATCTCGTATCCCGCCCCCATCATGCGATACACACGAAGGGGAGTTTATGTCGATATCGATGCACTTTGTTACCCGTATCGCGTATGGTGCACGCGCAAACACGCGAAGATAGACGAACATCGTCGAAAGAGGAGGAACGGAGTTTACGAAAAAATGGAGGTGCGGTTGAAGGTAAGGAAAGGAGGGGGTCGAAGAAGGATAAGAAGGGAAGCCATAGCCCGCGGTCTTTCCCTTCGTATGGGGGCTTTACACAGTTTTTCCATAGGGGCGTACGGTCCACCCAAAGTCCACCCCCGCCATCAAAAAATCACCCTTACGACGGTATCTCGCGAAATCGATGGCTTTGGGATCGCAGGGGCAGTTGAAAACCACCCTTATTTTCCTCGGTGAAACCGACGATTTCGATTGGTCCCGGGTACAGGGGTACACGGTAGCATAAATACACGTAAGTACGTGTCGCTGAAGGGAGGTGGATAGATAGAGGACACGTGACGGGGAGAGGGAAACTTTTATCGTGGCTCTGCACACCTCGGTCTTCTCGCGCGCCACGAGAAATATAACTGGGCGTTCAGGGATTCTTTACGTTCGCGTGGGAGTGTGTTTGTCGGTATAGTGGCTGAGTTTTGCTACTTTCAGTACGGCAGTGGCATGCTCGATAAGTGTTAAAACGGGCTACTTCAGTCACGTACGGTATTTTTGATGAGGGGGTTTGGAAGGGGTACTTTGTTTTAGTGTCGATGAAACGCGGGGTGTAAACTTTGCTACATTCTTATTGTTGTTTATGAAAGTGCACTGCTATACGTGGAATTCTAATATTTATAATGGAACGATTTAGAGTTCTGTTTGATAACGATTTTATTATGTTCTAGGTAATCGTGATTGGAGAAATCATTTCAATTTTATTACATATTGGTTAATATTTAGTAATATGTTAGCAGAAATTTCAAAGCTGCACCTCTGATAGATAATATTCTGATTACTGGTTTTTGGACATTAGGGTAGAACTAGGTAATACGACCTGATTGATAAAATGTCTTACTATTGTATTGCATATACACAACTAACAATATGTTCGAACCTTCCTCACAGA